GGACTTGACAGCAAAGTGTTTGGTTTTTGTGCTTGTTTGTTTTTGTTATTGTTGTTGTTGGTCCTAAGAAAATATCTTCTTTGGTCCCAAGAAAAAAAATCTCGTATTCCTCTCTGAAGTTGACCCAGGAAGCATGTAGCCTCAAGACCTGTTAGCAGCCGTCTTTGGACCATGAGTGGAGAGCTCACCTGACAACAGAGGCAATACTGAGGAGATGCAGCAGAGAAACAGTGGAAGTGAAACTGGGTCCTGGTGCCAGCACTTAAGCAATAGGTTAAGGTTCACCTGAAGTCTAGCCTACCCCTGGATTCTCCAGTTACAGTTTAAATTCCTATTTCTGCTTAAGGTAGTTTAGATTTTGTTTTCTTTTGCTTGTAACTGAAAGATTCCTGACTCATGTACAAGGCTAAAGTGATTCTCAGAATAGGAGAGAAGAGTGGGAATTTGTGGTAATCTAGCATTCTGGGTAGAGTAGTCATTTAAGAACAATAAAAGAGGGATCTAGAGGCTGCGTTGAAGTGTCTGGCCATAAAGGGATGAGAGAGTAGGCTTTGGGATAGAAAGGAAAGGCTGGCTCTGAGCTTCAACATGAAAGAAGTGCCCACCAGTAGGGACTGTGCCCCTATTTTGGTTGCACTACTGCTTTCTACTCATGGATGATGAAGGCCTCCAATTCATCCCCAAGGAAGTGATGCAATCTGTTGCTAGATCTTAACTATATCAGCAAAGAGAGGATAAGGGAAAGAGAAAGTGTTACTTGAGCAGGTAGCAGGAATAAAAAGAGAAGGCTAAAAAAAAAAAAAAATGCGGGAGAGGAGATTGTAAAAGGAAAAGAAAACCGGGAAAAAAGAGAGGATGTGGACATAAGTACGGAGAATAGGAGGCAGTATTGCATAGTGGCTAACAGTATGGGCCCTGGGACCAGACAGATACTGGTTTCAAAATCTACGCATTACTTAGTGTTGTTGTTGGGTGCCGCCCAGTCAATTTTCAACTCATAGCAACCCTAGGTGACAGAGAAGAACTGCCCCCTAGGATTTCCTAGGCTGTAATCTTTCCTGGAGCAGATCAGCAGATTGCCAGGTCTTTGTCCAGAAGGGAAGAGAGTGTGGGTGGATTTGAGCCACTAACCATTCGTTAGCAGCAGAACCTTAACCATTGCACCACCAGGGCTACTTGAATTACTTACTAAACCAAATCAAAAGCAAACCCGTTGCCGTTGAGTTGATTCCGACTCATAGCGACCGTATAGGACAGAGATGAACGGCCCCATATGGTTTCCAAAGAGCGTCTGGTGGATTTGAATTGCCGACCAATCGGTTAGTAGTAGAGCTCTTAACCACTGTCCCACCAAATCACCTCCCTAAACTTCCCTTTGCGCTGCTGAAATAAGCATAAAAGTACCAACCTTATACGGTGACTGTGAGGCTCCAAAAGTACAAAACAGTCAAGCCCTAGCCGAGAGTCTGGCACAGAGTAAGCAATTCATTACTTGTAGTTATAACAAGAAGAAAGATGTATGGCCACAGGAGAATAGGAGAGGAAGAAAGTAAAACACTACTTTTACTTAGACCTGGATCCTCCTCATTAGGAAGTACTGAGTATTCTCTGTACAGAAGTAGTACTAAGAAAATTAAAAGAAAGGATCACACTTACAAAAGAAATGGCTTTTGAGAATGATAGCCAATTACATTGACTTTTCTCTATGTTGTACTATTCTCTGATAGAGCCAGTTTTGAATCAGACTGACGATATTCGAGAATTTTCAACATACAGGAACAAAATATTAGAGCAAGTCAAAATAACCCCGGAGATTAGTTTTATGTGGCCATGTGTGGCGGTACTTCTTGCGACATCAGGTCTGGCTGGGCCAGTAGGACCAGAGGGTCCTGTCCTCACCCTCCCGCCCGCCCAGGAACTGGGGTGAGCTGGTGCTTTTTTTTTCAACCTTGAAGCCTTCTCCACAGGAGACCTGCAGGCAATTGGCCTGGGAGGGGCGGAGGAGCAAAC